ATTTTGTTAGGAAACTAAAGACTAGAAGAGTATTTGGACGCACTTTTGATAGTGAATTGATATTTGTGCTTAGGGGTTCTAAAACAATTCGAAGAGGAGTAAGCTAGAATATCTCCAAATAAAGCAACATATTCACACAAGCCGTTAAGCACATAGCACACAAACAAATATTATGCATTTTAAAACAAATATGTGACCCTTTTAAGCCAAGGGTAGGCCTAACGATTCAAAGGATGTATAACGTCATCTGAAATATTTCATTGCCCCCAAAAACCCAAATTATACAGATTTTATGAATAAGTCGAATAGGGATACACAATAGGGAATATAGGATACAAATAATCAGTCCCGCGCAGGGGTACAACCCTAAACTATGCATCCATTGAAGGTCCTTTGATCGTGAACTTCTTTCCATCTCCGAATGTCCATCCCTTTGGATAGTAGCTTGCGTAAATCCTTTTTAGATTGGAAAAAGCTATTAAAATCTACTCCCAACCCCGAGGGACAATGACTTTTCAAATAACGTATACATCCTTCAAATTTAACACATAAGTATGATCGTCCGTTTAGGCCATGGGCCGTTTTGGACTCAAGGTGGTCTTTCTAATGGGCTCAACACGCCTTTGGGGTGTTGGGTCATCTTAGTTCAATGCGCTAAAAGGGGTTTAGTTTCGCTCTACACTAGTTGACTAAAATTTGGTTTAGATAAGACCTGGTTACCCGAGTTGGACAAACTGCGGGGTGAAGTATAATAAACGACGTTGGATGACCACAAGCCAACTATTCGTTTATCACTTCGAAAGAATTTAAAGGTGTTTTTTCTGAAGGACAGCCGTGGAAAGCCACGTAACCGCCTTTTCTCCTAATGCAAACTATTTGCCATTTGGCGGAATCGGATGCCATGAAATGCAACAATTTATAATATACAAGAATTGAAACAAGTAAACAATTTAAACAAATAGCCAAACAAGTTAATCTTAAGGTTAGAACCCATTCAATTCCCCAGCGGAAGTCGCCATTCTGTTTTATTTAAAAAATATATAAAAGGAAAATGACTAAGTTTTCGAAAAATCGATTAAACTTATGATTCAAGAGAAATCGAATTTTCAAAAGATCAGAGTCGCCACTTAATTTTTAGGAAAAATCAAGAAAACTATTATTTTCAAAAAGACTAAAACAGTAAATCTATTGAAAATTATTAAGGGGGTTCGAGGTCCCTATTAATATTCTAGGAAGGTTTTTAAAGCACCTAGAATATCCGCTAATGCGGTTATCCGACAATTAATTTATTTGGCTAAAATAATTTTAACTTAGCTTGACTTGCAAAATTGAACT